TTTCTTTCCTTCCTTTCCTTCCTTCCTTCCTTCCTTCCTTCCTTCCTTTCTTTCTTTCTTTTCTTTCTTTTCCTTCCTGCCTGCCTGCGCAGTGCTTAGAGTGCAGCATTGCAGACTAACTCTGCCCACAGCCAGGAGTTCGATCCTGACCAGCTCTAGGTTGACTCAGACTTCCATCCTTATGAGGCTGGGTAAAATGAGGACCCAAATTCCTGGGGGCAAGATGTTGACTCTGCAAAGCGCTTAGAGAGGGCTGTAAAAAGCACTGTGAAGTGGTCTATAAGACTAAGTGCTGCGTTGGGTCAATTGGTATAGTGTAACTCTAGCAATATCCAAATGCTGATTATTATTATTTTTATTGCCTGTCGAGGCGGACAGAATGTATCAACCCATTGCAGAAATTCCCTTTTTTCCCCCCTGACTGTTTCCTTTTATTCCAGAACCGCTTTCAAGATTTCGCTGCCGGCTGTCATGAAGTCTAAGAAAAAGAAATTGAAAGTTATGATGTAGCTGCATTATCGCTTTCTCTCGCTCCTCTGCATGGAATCCTGTCTCCCAGATTGCAACTGGAAAGCTGCAAAAGTGGAGTGCCGGGAAAACCAAAACGCATTTTCGAAACGATCAACAAAGGGCTAAACATTTCCAGCCAGTGCATAGATTGTCCAGAACACTGTACTAAAAGTGTTTACAAAACCCGGTTTCTGCCACTGGTTTAAACCCAACACCTGAAATCAGAGCAAGGAAATAAACAAAGTTGGTATGTAAAACCCATTTCATGTATTTGTAGGTTAGAGAAATCGAACTGGTTTTAAGTCTTGACACCTTAGTTCCAAACAAATCTCCTTTTATTTAAGTTAAAATTGTGGTGGATTGACATTTCAGGGCTCCTGGGCTGGTCCCTGCAGAAGCTGCCTTGGGGGAGGGAAAGTTTTTGATTTAAAAAAAAAAAAGAATTCAGATTACAACTATCGTAAGCAACATTTTTCACTAGGGTTAATAGCAGATCCCTAAAAGATTTCCGATTCCCATTTTTGACAGCCGCATCTGAGTGTGTATCAGATTGTTTTTTATGTTTTGGCTGGAATTTATGTTAACCCAAACCCACAAAGCTTATTCCAATGGAATTCTCCATATTTCTTCTTCATTTTTTGGTGTAAAAATTGCCTCTTTTATGGACAGTGAAGGTCTCACACCTTCCGTCTAGACAAATTTTGCTCAAGGCAGGTCGGTTGATTTAAAGAGGCAAAAAATTAATATTTCACCTTGGTTTATACACAAGTAATTTAGCATCGTTCGTTCCATCCTTCAAATATTGTGACTACTTTTCTAATGAACGAAAATGAAAGATTTGCTCTCTTATTTGGAAGGCGTTGCTTACTTCCTAGAATTAATTACGTTTGTTTAATTAATTGAACTGCCTCTTCATTCTTAACTGTCGACACATTGGATGCTATTTTTGTTTTAATGATCTTTTTTTCACTGCCCCTCAATAAAATTACCTAAGAAGAAAGGAATACTTTCCGTATACTATTCTTTATGAAATATACCTCAGCCATTAGATTATATATGTTAAGTTCACAACATTCATAAACGCCACAAAAAAGAGGATTATTTTGAGGCGTTATAAAAAGGGCAAGGCCAGTGTGAGGAAGTAGCTTCAGAAATTAAGGGACACAGTGGCTCAATGGCTAAGACATTGAGCTTGTCAATCGGGCGGTTCGAATCCCCAGCGCCGCATAACGGAGTGAGCTCCCGTGACTCGTCCCAGCTTCTGCCAACCGAGCAGTTCGAAAGCAGGTTAAAAATGCAGGTAGAAAAATAGGGACCACCTTTGGTGGGAAGGGAGCAGCGTTCCGTGCGCCTTCGGCATTGAGTCATGCCGGCCACATGACCACGGAGACATCTTTGATTTGATTTGATTTGATTTG